ACGGGTCATGTTGGACACGTAAGATTACTAAGAACGCGAAATAAGAACGTAGCCTGGGGCGCTGAAAAATAAGAACTTTGCTAGGCTGGCCCTCTGAAACCGTGTTCTTGGGCGTACGAGTCTACTGTACATAATAGTAATATGCAGACATGGCTACAGTGTAGGCTTCCAAGGTTGTTATTACTGTTAGGCGAAAAGCACGTCATAGTACATTTGAGACCAGCGGGAAGAAGATGACGACGTCCTCTGCGCACATCAATGTGCTATGTGTGTGTAACTCTGTGTGTCAGCTATGACATCAAACCTGGTGGTCCCATGCCTAGCATGTAGGTCAGAACCATCCTGCAAAGTTTGAATGATGTAGGTTGAACGATCGCACCGCGAATCATACTTTTAGAAATTCTCTTCAGAGCATATCTTCCACCATTGAAATTTCGAATTTCTTGCTGAAAGGGGTGGCTTGCAAACCTAGATATGACTTGTTCCAGGCATGCTTTGGAGCCAAACCCTGTTGAAGGAGTGGCAGGATCTGCCCTGCAATAGCTACAACAAATTGATTCGATATGAGGAAGCGTGAGACCGCGAATCTCGGTTGAATATTGGGTATTTCAAGCATTTTTAGACGAAGATGGAGTTCTTTTTGGAGATGGACGTCGCGGCAAAGGACATGGTTTCCGACTTCTGGCGTCTGGTGAAGCAAGGGATCATTTGTCCAGTCAGGTCGGCAGCCCAACCGTCGGTAAGCTTGTGTTTGGATCCCGTTCTGTTCGATGTCGTACTGTATAAGTAGAAATTTTCGTTTGGAATTGACTTTCGCTATATTCGTTAGGGGCACGAAATTACTGAAGTTTGTACCAAACTAAAAAAATTCTGAACGTTCGGGGTGACAGACCTCGACCAAAACAAAATTTAGTACGTAACAAGGCTGCTGGTGGAGTGATCTAACGAAAGTTTTCGTGAACAAAAATTTGTACTTATACAGTAGATGACGAACAATTTAGAAATGGCACAAATAGAAGTCTGCATCGTGCGTACGGAATATTGTATTCAGAAAATCGCAAAATGTCTCTGTGTGGCCGTCCTATGCCACGAGAAACTCCAATCAGGCTCTTATGTCCTCTGCATTCTTGATTGAATGTCCACTTCGTTTGAACAACGAACACAACAATCGAGGACGGCTTTGCAATGAAAAATACAGCTATACTGGAGCTGGAAAAAAAGAAGAAAAAAAGTGCTCAGGATGAGACTCGAGTACACGTGTACTTTCCCAGCAGGTTCTGTGGATGTCGCTCATAGGTGCGTAATTTCGCGTGACGACTACAGCACGCGGCTGGCGTTTCGCATACCGTACTCTTATACCGAGGGCTGAGTACTCCAGGGACATGTACTAAAGAATAATGTTGCAGCCAGACTGGTAAACAGTTGCAAAGACCGCGTTTTGCCAGGGGATATCAGATTTCACTGATATCAAGCTTCTCTAGCACCATTGATTAAACAAGAGTTGTTAATCTAGCCAGAAGTAGTCTATGGTTAAGAGGTATGTATACTTCAAATAGAAACTACAGGTAGACTCCCTCTACTTCAAATAGAAAGTACAGGTAGACTCCCTCTACTTCAAATAGAAAGTACAGGTAGACTCCCTCTACTTCAAATAGAAACTACAGGTAGACTCCCTCTACTTCAAATAGAAACTACAGGTAGACTCCCTCTACTTCAAATAGAAAGTACAGGTAGACTCCCTCTACTTCAAATAGAAACTACAGGTAGACTCCCTCTACTTCAAATAGAAAGTACAGGTGGACTCCCTCTACTTCAAATAGAAAGTACAGGTAGACTACCTCTACTTCAAATAGAAAGTACAGGTAGACTCCCTCTACTTCAAATAGAAAGTACAGGTAGACTCCCTCTACTTCAAATAGAAACTACAGGTAGACTCCCTCTACTTCAAATAGAAAGTACAGGTAGACTCCCTCTACTTCAAATAGAAAGTACAGGTAGACTCCCTCTACTTCAAATAGAAAGTACAGGTAGACTCCCTCTACTTCAAATAGAAACTACAGGTAGACTCCCTCTACTTCAAATAGAAAGTACAGGTAGACTCCCTCTACTTCGAACCTCAAATTGCCAGGCCCTAAATTCAAATTATCCAGAACTTCATATTATCCAAATGCAGTCCCATTATACTGATATGTATGATTATTTTTGCACATTTTATTTGCATCAACGAAACATAGGTGGTCATGAACAACGAAATCAGTTCATTTCACCAAAACACTGGATCGACATGAAGTCATTGGACATTATTTTCATCTTCTCATCAGGCGAAATAGCACGTCATCGTACATTTGAGACCAGCGGGAAGAAGATGACGACGTCCACTAATTTAGTATCTGTGCACACGAATGTGCTGTGTGTGTGTGACTTTTTGTGTCAGCTATGACATCAAACCCTGTGGTTCCAAGCCTACCGTTTAGGTTAGAACCATCCTGCAAAGTTTGAATGACGTAGGTAGAACGATCGCGCCGCGAACCATACCTTTTGAAATTCTGTTCGTAGCATACTTTCCACCATTGAAATTTCGAATTTCTTGCCGAGAGGGGTAGCTTGCAACTTTGATTTGGCTTGTTCCAGGCATGCTGTGAAGCGAAACCCTGTTGAAGTAGTGGCGGGATCTGCCCTGCAATTGCTACAACAAAAAATGATTCGATCTGAGAAAGCGTGAGACCGCGAATCTCGGTTGAATATTGAGTATTTCAAGCCTTTTCACGACGAAGATGGAGTTCTTTTTGGAGATGGACGTCGCGGCAAAGGACATGGTTTCCGACTTCTGGCGTCTGGTAAAGCCAGGGATCATTTTGTCCAGTCAGGTCGGCAGCCTAACCGTCGGTAAGCTTGTGTTTGGATCGCGTTCTGCTCAATGTGGTGGATCACAAACAATTTTGATATCGCACAAATTGAACTCTGAATCGTGCGTACAGTATTTTATATTCAGGAAATCACAAAGTGTCTCTGTCTCTCTGTGTGGCCGTCCTATGCCACGAGAAACTCCAATCAGGCTCCTATGTCCTCTGCATTCTTGATTGAATGTCCACTTCGTTTGAACAACGAACACAACAATCGAGGACGGCTTTGCAATGAAAAATACAGCTATACTGGAGCTGAAAAAGAATAGAAAAAACGTGCTCAGGATGAGACTCGAGTACACGCGTACTCTCCCAGCAGGTTTTGTGGATGTCGCTCATAGATGCGTAATTTCGCATGACGAAGAAGTTCTAGTGAAGCAGTTTTCAATCGCTGCAGTTGTCCTGAAACGATTTCAACGCAAAAGAACAGCGCTGCCTTCTCTGCGTCATGAAAGCCCGTCGGGGAGCGGCATGTCATTCTGAAGAACGGAAGTGGAGCATAGGCAAAGACAATTTTTACGACTTCCAGTTGTTGTTCAGTCCCAAACTTCTTTGCGCATGAGCTGGCGCGGCATGACAAGCCATTGAGATCCGCGAAGGGAGCCAACCCACTGGAAGAAGTCGTCTTCAATCAAATGTTTGCACTTTGCCTTGCAGAGGTTTGGATCAAATTTCGAGAGAAGGTGGGTTTCTTCAACGGTATTGTCGATCCTGGAGGGGAGCAGGGATCAATTTTTGAGTTACTCTTGGCTAGAGAAGGAGAACAAATGAACTTCGAATTACGAGTAGAGCAACTCCATCTCACTTCGAAATAAGCGTTCAAAGGACATAGTCACTGTACTGTAAACTGCTCTTCTGTACGAAGGCAGAGTTCGAATTATCCAACGGGCGCACTTTTCGTACTTCGAATTATGCATTCGAATTTGACTTGAAGTGACTTGCAGAAGATCGGTACGACGAAAAAGTTCGAATTACACGGAATGTTCGAATTATACCGTATTCGAATTAGAGGGAGTCTACCTGTATATGAACCCTGAAACCGACAAAAGGTGGCAGGTACAAAAATACACCTTTATGCAGCCGAGCCAGTTGACAACCGACTCAACAATATCTTAAGTGTACCCACCAACCGAACTAGCTGGCACGCACGCACACACACACACACACACACACACACACACACACACACACACACACACACACTCCTTCCCGTTACTGAAGCGATGATTGCGAACAAGCTATGTTAGATATAGCAATTTGTGCTGGGATTGCACCATTCAACAGCTTGCAAGGCTGATGAATTGACCGCCAAATTTTAGCCTGGTCTACACCACACGATTGATTGAAGTACGTAGCTTTTTCTGGCCAGTGAATCCCCATTTTCCTTTTTCCTTTTCTATTTCATTCCTTCTAACACACACACACACACACACACACACCTCAGACCTCAGACCTCAGACCTGCCCATTGCAGACACGATGGTAGCGAACGGATATGTTAAACATAAAAAATAGACTTACGTGTACTAGATTCCTTGCTAGCATATTTGGTCCGTTGTCAACGACTTGAACCAATGGTTCACCGTCATCGTCTTTCTCTTCGTCAAAGTCATAATCTCCAACAGCAACAGCACCAGCAATAGCGCGAGCAATAGCACCACCATCAAGATATTGGGAACATCCTCTTCCTCCAGACACAACTGCGCTAGTCAAAGCACCACGATGAAGATATTGGGAAATTCCTCTTCTTCCAGCCACAAATGAACTACCAAAAGCTCCATGACTTGCTGCAGATGATGCTTCTGCTGCTGATCCAGTTGCGCCATCACCAGCACCTGTGCCTTTCGTAATGGAAGCAGCCAGACGCTCTGTCGCATCAGCAACCACTCCCGATCTTGCAACCTGCAAGAGATTCACAAAAGAAAACCATCGATGGACAGAGTTAGCACCAGTAGACCTCCCTCCCTCTCTCCTTCTCTCTCTCTCTTTCTCCCTTCTCTCCCTCTCTCCCCCCCCCCCTCTCTCTCTCTCTCTTTCCCCCCTCTCTCTCTCTCTCTCTCTCTCTCTCTCTCTCTCCTCTCTCTCTCTCTCTCTCTTCTCTCTCTCTCTCTCCTCTCTCTCCTCTCTCTCTCTCTCTCTCTCTCTCTCTCTCTCTCTCTCTCTCTCTCTCTCTCTCTCTCTCTCTCTCTCTCTCTCTCTCTCTCTCTCTCTCTCTCTCTCTCTCTCTCTCTCTCTCTCTCTCTCTCTCTCTCTCTCTCTCTCTCTCTCTCTCTCTCTCTCTCTCTCTCTCTCTCTCTCTCTCTCTCTCTCTCTCTCTCTCTCTCTCTCTCTCTCTCTCTCTCTCTCTCTCTCTCTCTCTCTCTCTCTCTCTCTCTCTCTCTCTCTCTCTCTCTCTCTCTCTCTCTCTCTCTCTCTCTCGTGTCCATATGTCCTTTTCCTTTCTAGAGTTACCGTAATCTCGCGCATTTAGGGACATGTTCTTATTTTCGAATATAAGAGCACTCTCGCTTATAAGAGCATGCACTAACAAGTGAATGAAATCACAAAACCACACGAGGTTCATCATGTTTGCATTGTTCTGGCATTAACCAATAATATGCGTACTTGCACCTGTACATGTCGATGCGATGTTTGTCTCTCGCATATACGACCATGGTCCTATAATCGAACGAAAATGCACTTGTGAAAGAACTGAAAACAGCGACTTTTCGATTATAAGACCATGGTCTTATATGCATGAGATTGCGGTTTACACCACTACCCAAAAACGGTCTCTCGGAAACAAACTATTCCAAAAATAAAATTCAAATTTCCGGGCCAGGCCTATCTTCAGGAATAAAAGTCCAGAACACGGAGTCGGCACAGCCTTAGGAAGGTGTACACAGCCTTAGGAAGGTGTACACAAAGGGGTGTACACAAAGAGGTGTACACAGCGGTCACGAATTAAATTGTAATTCAGATGAGTCCATTTGTAGCACTGCTTCCAAAATCCGTACAGCTTGGTAACGTGATTAAGCACACTGGTTACACACGTGTGTGTTAGCAGTGAAGTGATGATCAAACATGCTATGGTAAAGAACTTTGGCCTGGTTTCTCATATTGATACTATGTACTGGCTGGAGGAGCAGTGGCACAAAACCTACAATCACAACATGGAGACCCAGATGAACCTATTTGGGAACCCCCTTATTATCAAATGCCTCGGTTATGGAGCCTGGAATGGGGCCAATGAAATGGTAGTAGAGAAGCGCCATTTGCACTATCAACTGCCCCCAAACAATGAATGATTTTCACAGCACACATGCAGAGCACCTCCTCCAGACACTTGAGCGTAGATAGAGAGGGGATTGCTTCCACTCAAATGATCATGACAAGAAATTTCCCGCATTTCGAGTACACATCGTTTGACTATCATAATTATACCAATTTACCTGTTGCTTGAATCATGGAATCATGGAATCATTGAATCATGGAATCATGGAATCATGGAATCATGGAATCATGGAATCATGGAATCATGGAATCATGGAATCATGGGCAAGCGCTCGGGAGAGGACTACTGTGAGCCCAAAGTTTATTTTAAAAGTTTGACATCGCTCACTTCATTCAGGACACACTTGGAGCACTTCTGCCCCTATGCAACAAAAGGCTGAGAGATAAGCCATGGATTACTCCGCCATTAGCGGTTATAATGTTCTTCTCTCAAACTTCCTCAAAGGTTTTGAGAAGAAGCAGAAATCCCCGGCACATAGCATGATGTCATACTATCGTGGGTTTGACACAGGGGAAACACCTACTACCCTGTGTTTGACACAGGGGAAACCCCTACTATCGTGGGTTTGACACAGGGAAACCCCTACTATCGTGGGTTTGACACAGGCGAAACCCCTACTATCGTGGGTTTGACACAGGGGAAACCCCTACTATCGTACGTTTGAAACAGGAAAAACCCCTGTTTTCCGGCAAAAGAGAAATGGTAATCACTAATTAATACCTGCCAAGTATGCCGGCTTTACGGGAGTGATTGTCCCGCATATTTTCCCATTTTAGATGAACTCCCAAGATCCCTGAATTCTTGTCAATAATAATAGTCAGTCCCACACATTGTTACATCCACATGCACACGCAAACACATACATGCACATACACAAATGCACACACACAAATGCACACACACATTCACACATTCACACACATGCACACACACAAATGCACATACACACACACACACAAATGCACATACACACACACACACACACACACATGCTCACACACACACACACACTCACACACATGAACACACACATACACACGCACACACGCACACACGCACACTTGCACACACACACACACACACACACACACACACACACACGCACATGCACACATTACGCGTGCCCAAGTAGACTAACTCTCTTCATTGGGATGATCACCCATGTGTCTATTATCACCCATGTGCCTACTGATCACCCATGTGCCTACTGATCACCCATGTGTCTACTGATCACCCATATGTCTACTATCTCACATGCAAACTAACAAAATAAGACGTACAGTCAAACCTCGTTAGGGGGAAGAACTTCAAGGGACCGATCAATTTTTTTTGTCTTATTCGGAGTTCTTCTTATCCAGATATGACAAAAAATTGATATGCATATCATATGGATTGTATTTATGTGAGGGTGAATGCTGTGGCAAATGTAAAACATTTTTTTCATAACATAACAGGTAAGTACAATGTGCAATGAATTCCTGCCAGCACGTCCTCCGCCTTGTAACATGTTTTGCCAGTACAAGAGGCCTAGACTATCGGGAAAACTACAGCCAGCGTACCCACCGGGACCGAAAGTTCGTACTACACGATGATTTTGTTCAAATTACGCTTGAAATTAGTCCGTCTTCACGAAAGTTCGCCGTACAGCAGTTCGTCGTAAAGCAATAATTTTGACTTGATATGATGCCTGGTCAACCATAGGATTGGCCCTAGTTCGTGCTAAAGGAAAGTTCGCCTTATCAGTGTTCGTCCTAACGAGATTTGACTGTGCATGTAAATCGGTATAATTGCAAACAAACAAGCGCTTCACGCACCGTATCAGGGTGTTGAGCAGAAGCCACCAGGTCATCCAGACCAAGATCAGCCCGGTGAATATGCGTCGTTTCACACTCCAACACCTCCAATTCCTCGCAAGAGTATTCTTGTGGCATACCAATTTTGCGGGGATGCTTGACTCTGGAACTAGGACCACCACTCTGTCTAGACCTGTGGCTGGTGGCTGCAGTGGCTGTGGTGGCCGAAGTGGCTGTGGAGGATGCTGAAGCCATCATGCCTTCAGCTAATGTCTATGGATAGAAGTAACAACAATGCATTGGGAAACATGTTAATTTTGAGAATGTCCGATCCATCATTGCCACTCGTGGCATGCCATGTGGGAACAAGGCGCCCCTCAATACCTCGTTTGTGTGTATTTGTGGGTGTGTTTCTGTGTGTGTTTCTGTGTGCCTGTGAGTGTGTGTTGATCCGTGTCATCATCTGCTGCTTTTTGTTTGGTGTATAGATCTCCTCTGTAACGGATCGGAAAACCCAGCTTGCTGACCGTAATCTGGTAATGCATTCCAATCACCAACCGGACCATTACAATGATAAAGCAACAGTGGACGCTAATGATCGGGAGGAAGTGCCGCTAGAGGAAGCTGTCAATGCTGCACCTCAACATGAGCCTGAGGATCATTCAATGTGGACGGGTCCTACATCCGTACTGTAAAATATCTCTACATTTCCCACAGCATAGCTGGACTGAATCAAATGTTTTGGGAGAACATCAATTGGTGCGTGTATGGCAATTGCAACGCATTCCAATGGATTTTACAGACCATATTTGGTAACCACAGAAAGCGATTGATTGCTCAACTGTCAAGCTTGGCCATGATGCCACCTAAAACGAGCGTAAACCACCAAATTTCGATGTGAGATGCAGGTCACTTGCGTTTTTTCCAAAGCGCGCGAGCCAAATAACGCGAGCTCAACTTTCGTGTCACGTCAAAATAACATACAGCTTAACCTCTTTACTGTCATATTAGCAAGTCACCATTAGTTACAGTACTATCGAACGCCCAAGAACGGACCGCCGAAGAACGGCCAGGCTAGAATTTCACCAATCTTTAAAGGGGAAGTTAAGGCAAAAATTAAAATTTCACCAGTTGTAGTCTTCGGGGTGCTGAGTCGAATGGTCTTGGTCCGAGGAAGCTGAGACGCTCCCTTCCTACTTGAATCCCAATCGAACTCGCGCACTTCCACCAAAACTGGGTGACTGCGCCCTACGAGATGGGGATTTGTATGCAAAATGTCACTAAAAGCGCCATTTCGTTCTTATAAAAGCACGGATGACCGCGATTGGCCCATATGTTGTAGTCTTTTGGACGCTGAGTCGACTGGTTTTGGTCCGAAAAGGCTGCGATGTAGCGTTCCTCCTTTATTCCCAATCGAACATGGTTGAACAAGCGGTCACGTGCCCCTGCGTACACCAGTCACCTGGTCACCGTGCCTGCAGGGTACAACTTACTAGCCTGTTTGACCTTTTTTGGGTGCACTCCTGTCACTCGAGTTGAACTTGAGTTGAACCTTGGTGTGAAATTTGTCGCCTGCCGGCGCGGTGGCCAGGTGATTTGGGCACCCAGGAGCACGTGACCGCTTGTTCAACCATGTTCGATTGGGAATAAAGGAGGAACGCTACATCGCAGCCTTTTCGGAACAAAACCAGTCGACTCAGCGTCCAAAAGACTACAACATATGGGCCAATCGCGGTCATCCGTGCTTTTATAAGAACGAAATGGCGCTTTTAGTGACATTTTGCATACAAATTCCCATCTAGTAGGGCGCAGTCACCCAGTTTCGGTGGAAGTGCGCGAGTTCGATTGGGATTCAAGTAGGAAGGGAGCGTCTCAGCTTCCTCGGACCAAGACCATTCGACTCAGCACCCCGAAGACTACAACTGGTGAAATTTTAATTTTTGCCTTAACTTCCCCTTTAAGAACGGTCTAGGCTGGACCTTTTGCAGATAAGAACGGAAACCATAATGTACACTATAATGTACACTCAGACGTATAACTCTGCATAAATGTACATGTAAGACTGTATCATCGAATAAGAACGAAACTGCTGTGTTCGCTAAAAATAAGAACGGGCTAGGCTAGAACCCTGAGTCTTGTCTGTGGAAGACGCGCGCGCACCTGTGTCTTTGTGTGTCTTTGTGTGCGTGTGTGTGTGTGTGTGTGTGTGTGTATGTGTGTGTGTATGTGTGTGTGTGCGTGTGTGTGTTTGTGTGTGCGTGTGTTCTTGCCAAAAAGAGTGGATAATGTTCATTACGCACCGTTCTGACCCCAGGATCTCGTCCTTCTTCAACTGCCAAAGAAATGCCATGTATAGAAACATGTACATGCATGCACATACACACACACACACATGTACACATGTACAAACACACACACACACGCACACACACACACGCACACACACACACACACACACACACACACACACACACACACACACACACACACACACACATACACACACACACACATGCCCACACACATGAATGCATATACATGCACACCCACGCATGCATACACACATAAACACACACAAGTCATATGTACAAACACACACACCTCAGACCTCAGACCTCAGACATGCCCATCGCGGAAGCGATGATAGCGAACAGCTATGTTAGACATGGCACACACACACACACACACACACACACACACACACACACACACACATACATGTACACCCACGCATGCATGCAAGTACGCATGTACGCATGCACACAAAAACACACACATACACACACACACACACACACACACTTGTACTTGTACTTGTTGCACACTGCCAAAACTGGTCACGTGGGTCTCCCTGGGAGAGGGGAGAGAGACTCAAAAGGAATATTGGAAAGATGACTCAATTGGCTATTGAACCGCCCAACGGCCGACACCCCCTGAAATCCCCAAAACTCTGGGTGGACTTGAAAATGATCCCACTTATGGGCTCACCACACCTCAGTAAGTGGGTGAGGACAAGGTGCAGAAAAAGGATTGACGGCATCAGGGTATCCGTCCTGGGATCCAACTGGAGTTACCCCTGCCCCCAGTGAAGGTAATACGTGCTACTAGTGTGAGTGGCTAACTCAGAGAGAGAGAGACACACACACATACACACACAAACTCACACACACAAACACACAAACACACAAACGTACACACACACACATACACACACACACAAACACACACACATACAAACACACAAAAACATGATTCCAACTAGACTACATACAATAGGAAAGAAGGAAGCTCCCGCACTCGCGCTGCTGGATGCGCCTGAGGATCGAGACATCGATCTCCACCATTTTTCAACCGATTTTGATACACTAAAGGCCCCCTTGAAGCTGAGAGAGGTAGCTTTCCTGCGGTGTGGTACCTGTGTACGTGGCTATGGTGACTACGCTGATACGGTACGGTTTATTTTGCGAATATAGTTTGACTGAGCAAAACCACCACATGATATTCAAACGCAGTTTTTCTGAATTGCAGAGCTGACTACGATAAGCCCCTTTTCGCACCTGACAGCTCGAAAGAGTCGTCGTAAAGTTGCTATGGGATACATAAAGACTCCAGAAGGATCAGTCTTGCACAACCTGTACCCATCTCAAGCAATAGGTATAAATTGCTATGAATGAAACAAATACGCTTGCCATGCTATTTTGAATCCCTTCAAATTTATAGAAAGGAAAATGAACCAAGGAACTACAAGTTACGCTATAATGTCCACTAACACCACCAGTTACGGAACAATCAGCTCATGCGATAACATTGCACGACACTGACCGACGGTACTGATTTCCTACATATGTACAACTAACTGGCTAACAGCTCTAGCACATCTTGGATACGCACTCCAACAGCCTTCCAACTTGGAAGGTTCTACTACCTCCGACAAGCGAAACTTGGCGCGTTTTTTTGATTTTTTTGTGTTGGCAACAAAACTACTTCACAAGGCTGTGAGGTACGACCTACTTCTAGCTCCATGCAACCGGGTGCAGGAAGCCAAGCGACGAGCTGGTGAGTGGCACATGGCTCAGACTCAGTCAGAGGCAAGCGTGTCTCTCATGTACCAACAAAACTGTGCGCGCGTCCATTCTGCGAAGGAGAATTGTCGTGCTTTCGCGTTGCAATGCAAAACCAAGGAGTTCTCTCTCTCTCTCTCAACTCTTGGTCACTCCGCCAGCACAGAGTCTATGCGTCAATGCCAAACAATACTAGCGTCTTTCAACAGCCACCAGAGCGATGCGTCTCTGGTGGCTAAGGAAAATCGCCAGGAATTGCTGCAGGCAATTTTTGGACAGTTGGCGAGAATACCCTGCAAAACAGTTGGAGTCCAGGCGCTTGTGGAGGTGTTGCACAGTTCTTACCACGTCAATCTGGATAGTGGCGGCGGAAACGACTACCCTCGACACCGTGGCTCGAGCACAGCACACAGGAGCGACATCGAGATTTTCAGAGCGATTACAACAGAGGTACTTGCTGCGACTGAATCCGCTCTAGTCGCACCTTCGTCTCAAAACAGGGACAATTCCTCGCCAGAAGAAACTGCGATCTCTGAATCAGAGGAGAGTTGTTCAGCCTAACAGATGCCGCTAATGTCCTTGTTGAGCAATACAAAGTTGAATTTTGGTGAGTCAATCATTAGTTTTGATTGTAAAGTGTGAGTTATTTCGAGTAATTTGAAGTTAAAAAAACGCGCCAAGTTCCGCATGTCGGAGGTAGTAAGTTATAGAAATAATACAAGGAGGGGAAGGTGAGTGCACCCAAGACAAACACGAGCTGAAAGCCTTCTTCTTTTCTCCAATTTTTTTTAAAAGGGACTCAAAATAGCATGGAAAAGGTCCTGTTGTTGCCATCAAGTCTCTCAGAAGAACGTTGAAAATTCACTTTTCATGGAATATAAATTACAGCATTGGAAATATACACACATAACCACATGTCACAGTTATACACACAGTTATACACACATGTCACAGTTATACACACATAACCACATGTCACAGTTATACACACATGTCACAGTTATACACACAGCTATACACACATGTCACAGTTATACACACATAACCACATGTCACAGTTATACACACATAACCACATGTCACGGTTATACACACATAACCACATGTCACGGTTATACACACAGCAAAAGGAGGAGGGTGCTTTGCATCTCAGTGTTAACCGTGCCTCTTTTGGGGCGCGTTCGAATTGTCACTCTTTGACTTTTCGAGGAGCTTCGTTTTTCTGAAGAGGTGGCCTTATTGGCGACTTCAGAAAAACGAAGCTCCTCGAAACCCCTCGAAACTCCACAACCTCATCCGATGGGAGAGGTGGATTAGTTTCGAAAGAGTTTGGAATAGCTACGTCATGTTGTACGTGGAGATGGTCGATCTGATCGGACGTCATTATTGCCATGACCATTCCACTGAAAAACTCTACAATGATAGAAACCGTTCTAATGGGACACTTCGACTAATCTCTTTATACAATTTGTATGAACAGTTGATGAAGACAATTCAAACGCGCCTTTGGAGTGTGTGCTCTGTGTGCGCTGGGCCCGAGCGGGCGGTGTGCGTACCGCGCGCGGACTGAGCAGGTTGCGACCCAGCCCTCATGTGTGCATTGTATGGATTCTTGTTGTTCTGTTCCTTGCCTTCTTCTTGAGACTCTCGTTGGAGTAAGACTAAAGTAATCAGTCCTCTGAGTGTGGTGTACATGGGATGTACATGTGATTGTGATAGTAATCGGAAGGGCCTACCATCCGGGGACTACAAGTAAGATAGTAAGAACCCCCGACGAATCAGTGTTTCAGGTTTCTCACAATGATCAGGCAATGGTGATGGTCACGACATGTATGGACCTCACTGTCACAATATGTGTATACGTGTGTGTGCGTACATGCGTGCATACGTGTGTGCGTGGGTGCGTGCATACATGAACGCACCCACGCACACGCGTGCATGTGTGTGTGCATGTATGGTGAATGAATGAATGAAAAAAATGTTCTCGTTTGTGTCTTTCCCTCAAACCAGTGAATATTTTATAATTTGGGGCTCCGCGCGGGCTAGTGTGTACGTTAAGTGTGTGATTTACTGTGAGGGCTGCGTCCCACCCGCCTGTGTGGATTCACAGGACGTGTGAGTTACGAAGTCTGAAGTAAATGTTGAACGGTCTCTGCTGGGATGACAACTACACCATAGCTCAGTGGTCAGAGCATCGCTGGCAACAAGCGAGGGTCCCCGGTCAATTTTTTTCTTCAGACTTTTCCCGTTTGCGTCTTTTCCTCCAACCAGTGAAAATGAAAAATTGGGATTCATTGGCCAGAAAAGCCACTTCAACCAGCTGTGTGGTGTAGACCAGGTGAACATTATTGGCGATCAATTCATCAGCCTTGCAAGCTGTTGAATGGCGTAATCCCAGCACCAATTGCCATGTCTTACATAGCTTGTTCGCTATCATCGATTCAGCGATGGGCAGGAGTATGAGTATGATTGTGCGTGCGTGCGTGCGTATGTGTGTGGATGTGTGGATATGTGTGTGTGTGTATGTGTGTTTCTGTGTGATGATGCGGCAAACACTCACCGTTCAACTTTAGTCGGGGTCCTACCCGGATTTTTTCTCTGCCACCTGTATCAATGTTGTCGTTAGGGGGAAGAAGAGTAAAGTTTGGGATGCCGAATGTTTCTGGATACAGACCCAGCCGCGGTTTCCCTGCAACAGCAATCAGCAATCAGTATACATATACTGATTCAATGTGTTGTTCTTTTAACCCTTTCAAGACTTTGAAGAAACCAACATACTGATACAATTAGAAACGAATTGTACACAAAAATTTGAAGAAGGAGTAATGCGGATCAATCGCATGCCAAAATCACAGAGCTTTTTGCCTGTCTTCCAATGCATCTCTATTTCCTCACCCTGAATTTAGCTACATGTGCCCTCACCACAGATCTAACCTAACTGTAATGCTACATCAGGACCCACATTGTTTAAGAATGAAAAGAGTTCAGCAGCGAAACAGTTGTTTTGTTTGTGTATAGAGATCTGGCTATACTCTTGTCCTGTGGAACATCTGCCAAACGTTTCCATCACAACATCTTTCTATGGAGGAATAAATACTGTAATTTCACAAATTTTCCGTGTACTTGTATTTTCGGTACTTTCGGTGCGTCTGTTTCATACCTAAAATTTCAATACACCGAACAAACACTAAGACACATACTGTAAAGTCGCGGATAAAAGCCAGGCTTATAAGCATATAAGCCGCTTTCTGCATCAGGCTTTAATGCAAACCAGGCTTGTATGCAAACCATGCTTATATGCACCACTGATATTTTTGCCAGGCTTGTATGCACGTAGAAGCCAGGCTTCTGCGCGCGACACGCGTAGATCTACCACTGACTACCGGTACGGCGGCAGTTTTACCATGCACCGTACATAGCGCATGCACTCTTGATCTACCCGATCCGCGCTAGCATAGAAGCCAGGCTTCTACGCGCGACATGCTTATATGCATTTGACCCGTTTGATTTTCAGGCTTCTATCCGCGATGTGCTTGTATTCAAACCCGGCTTTTATCCGCGACTTTACGGTAATCCAATAGGGAACTGCTTCTCTGTACATAAAATTTCTGTTCACCTAACCTGGCTTTTGCCCTCATACCGAAAATATTTAGCACCTAAAATTTCTGAAATCAGAAAAGGCTCCAAACTCGCCACTATGTTGTTGTCAGGGAAAGAGCAGAATGTGTAGTTGTATCCCGAGCTTGACGGCAAAACGGAGTTTCAAAGCTGGCAGCGTTCTGTTGCGGTTGGACTAATCAAGCATAATTATAGTACAGCAACCCAACCTCTATGCTCCACATTTTCGGAACGAAAGAAAAGTCTCAGCCACAGCTGCTGACCTAGCATGCTTATTAGGAATCTTGTTACTTCCTGGATATCATCCTCTGCCGCAAGATATCGCTTATTGGTCAACTAGGCAGATCTTGGTGTGCCTATTGTTGCAGAGGCTACAAGTAGGAATTCATTCCAGAGCATCTAGTCTGAGATCCACTTTGCTGACAACCAGGCATTGGCAGCGGGAGACAACATGGCCAGGGTTCAGCCACTGTATGCATCATTGGGTAAGTGCCTTGGCCGATATGGCTTGTCCATTCACTGCTATCCTTATTATAGAATCAATCGTTCCTTACTATGTCCGCCATTCTGCTCTGATGTACATCCGTGGCAAGCCTATTAGGTTTGGATATAAGCTGGGGTGGCTCTGTGGGTTTGGTGGCTACCCCTGGCACTTGAAAATCTACCAAGGAAAGGAAGCCAACCAGCCTGTCTCTCCATTTGGTGCAATATATTCTTGTTAATTCTATGGTCGATGTTGTGGAACACCATTCTGAAACTGAGAGGCATGAGTTGCCAGACCGTGCAACAGGCACAATACGTGAAAACCTGGCAGGGGGTGCAGGGAAACTGATCACCACCACCACCACCACCACAGCAATGAAAAAGACTACGTGTCATAGCTTTAACTACGGGTGTAAAGGTGATGTATATGTGTACAAGTGGCAAACAATCCAATTGCTCACTTTGCAAGTACATGACTTGTAAGTACCAAATGCACATGCCATTGCAATATGCTAACCGTCGCATCAAGGATGCCCAGACAGCAAGCGTTTAGCCGCCCACCTTATACACGAGTAGAATGCCGGCATGTGTGGGGTGGATCTGATGGATTGCTCGCTTGTGTCATATCGTCCAGGTATCAGGGGCAAGAATTTTTACTGCACACTTTCCGCCCATTATGTCGACCTGTCCATAGTGGGTCATGGTGGGTGCATGGCGGCAAGCATAGTGCAGAGTCAGTGAGGAGGAAACGTGGCAAGGAGTAAGTGAGAGGAGATTTTGAACATCAACATTTGGCGACAGGCAGTACTGTGTGTGCTAAAGCAGACGACCAAGGTACCAAGGTACCAAGGTACCAAGGTACCAAGGTACGTGCCTGAACCGCTTCAGCAAATCTGCCCTTGCGTCCTGCTGATGTCTTTTTGATGTAGTAGACCATGAGAAGGAATACGTAAAGCAAGGCAGGTGTGCAGTGCGCAAGAAGAATGCTCGCTACTGTTATCTCAAGTACAAAGTAACCGACTTAGCGGTATCCAGGCGGATGCCCGACCCGCACAGTAGCAGCACGTACCACCTACTACAAGTCCAGCCATTATAGTTTCCTGTGGTACAAATGTCAAAGCACTTGCTCAAACAGAACTATGAAGGGAGGACCTGACAATCTTGCTCGAAAGTGAATACAATTGACCAGTAACAACCACACACTTAGGCTGTGTTTACATGAAGCGTTTCAACCCGGGTTGAGTTCGACCCGCGTCAGATTTCAACCCGCCATGTACACAAAATGAATGACGCGTTTTCATGACGCATTGCGCTTGACCCGGGTTGAAATTTTGCCCCGGGTTGATTTCAACCCTCCCCCCAAGGGGAAGGTTGAAATCAACCCGGGTCAAGAAAATCGTACAAACGTACTTCTGTGCGTATCTCGCGCCAGGTTTGAACAGCACTGCAGATGCAAATTTCGCGCAAACGGATTCACGTGACCTTACAGGACTGTAGAAGTGGACTTTTGGCGGCATATCAGTATTTGACCCGGGTCAACTGTCTTCATGTAAACGCTCACCTCTTTTGTCTATCGTACAGACTTTCAACCCGGGCTGAACTCGACCCGGGTTGAAATTTCTCATGTAAACACAGCCTTAGCTGATGATCTCCGAAGTAGCTTGAAGGAATGGAATGCTGGCAGCAGTGTCCGAGAGTACACATGTTTTGACAAGGCACGCTGTGCAATTGTGTACCATATAGCTCCACTCACACAGGGATCAGTTTGATCAACTCCAACATCCAGTCTCTAGTTCGCAGTTGCCTATTGCTAGTGAATATGTAGATAACTTCCAGCCTGGGACTCGGCGACTTGCGGCAACTCAGCTTGTTGGACTCTCATCTTTTGATTAATCATTCGTATTGTCTTACCTCCAACTGGTGGATTCTTTCTCTTCTGCTTCTTCTTGAACGCAACCTGAAGCCAAACGGTTGATGCATAAAAACAACACAATGCACACATACACACACACACAACACACATACACACACACACACACACACACATATACACAGTGATACACACATATACACAGTGATACACACATACACACATACAGTCAACTTCGCAAATAACGACTGCGGATATAACGACAATTCGCGAATAACGACAGACTTTTCATGCCCAGAGCAAAGTCCATTCTACCTGTATACATATAATGAGACTTCGGATATAACGACAATTCGCGAATAAGGACACTTTTCTGATGCCCGGCCGAGTGTCGTTATACGCAAAGTTGACTGTACACACATACACACATATACACACACCATGTACCATGTATACGCCCGTCACAAGAGAAGCACGCAAATCTGCAAATGCACTGGATGTGCACCCACAGATTTTCTCTTTATAGCAACGATAGCGGATCTGATTCTGATTGAAACAGATCAAGACAACACACACACACACACACACACACACACACACACACACACATACACACACACACATACACACATACACACATGCACACATACACACATACACACATACACACATACACACACATACACACACACACACACACACACACACACACACACACACACACACACACACACACACACACACACACACACATACACAGTCATACACACACACACACATACACACACACACATACACACATACACACATACACACATACACACATACACACATACACACATACATACATACACATATACACACACCACGTGCACGCATGCACGTACACACATGCGAGAGGGGTTTTGATAAGCAAAATGTTGCAAAACTCCTTCTTTTTAAATGCTTCCCGAGGTATTTGAGAGGGAAGACCATTTCTCAATACTTTAAACTTACATAATGCATGATGAGAAACGCCTCAACTTCAAAACCTATGTATTTGTTTACCGCTGCCTGAATGGACTTGCTAGTCCTCTTCTGCGAGACCGCTTTACCTTGCGCGCCCATGGTGCTCGCACTGCAGCCACCACCCGTGGCCAAGTCTCTGCTGCTCTTGTTCTGCCCCCCGCTAACACCCGATATGGCTTTAGTGCAATTTCTTATTTGGGCGCTGCCAGGTGGAATACACTTCCACCGGCTTGCCGCGTGTCTAGTTCACCAGCTGAATTTCGCTCATCCATCAAATTATACCTAGGGTTCCCTGTAAAAAGGCGCTGACGCCTGTTGGGAATTCCCTAGTAAAAGAAGAATAAATATTTATAATAAAAATAATAATCTTTCCCTTTCTCTCTCCCTCTCTCTCCCCCTCTCTCTCCCTCTCCCTCTCCCTCTCTCTCTCCCTCTCCCTCTCCCTCTCCCTCTCCCTCCCTCTCTTTCCCCCCTCTCTCCCTCCCTCTCCCTCTCTCTCCTTCCCTCTCTATCCCCCATCTCACCCTGTCTTCCTCTCTCTTCCTCTCTCTTCCTCCCTCCCCCCCGTCCCTCCCCCTCTCTCTCTCTCTCTCTCTCTCTCTCTCTCTCTCTCTCTCTCTCTCTCTCTCTCTCTCTCTCTCTCTCTCTCTCTCTCTCTCTCTCTCTCTCTCTCTCTCTCTCTCTCTCTCTCTCTCTCTCTCTCTCTCTCCCTCTCTCTCTCCCCCTTTTTGGAATCGGGACTCATTTCCAGTAGCAGTGAAAGTATAATCTTGGGCTTGCAATGATCTACCTATACCTGTACCTGTATGGTAAAGTTGAACCTATTCAACCTACAGAACCTATTCAACCTGCATAACCAGTACAACCTGCATAACCAGTACAACCTGCATAACCAGTACAACCTGCATAACCTATTCAACCTACATAACCAGTACAACCTACATAATCAGTACAACCTACAGAACCAGTCGACGAGGAGACAATAGTCGTAAAATGGCAATAAATAAGATAAATTGTGCACTCATAACAACAGCAAAAATGAAGAAAGTCAAGTTCCATAACGTTTTCTTGTGACTGTCATCAGTGGAACGCCGTCACATAAAAATGTAATAACTAAAACACACACTTATATACATGTAGCTAATATGGTTTCAGGTAGAAATACAGCAGCTAACAGGTACAAAAAGCGAAGTTTGCACCTTTGCAATGTGTGAATATAGTGTATGTGAGAAAGGCAGTGGCAGATGAATGTGATACTGTGTGAATGAATGTAATGGTGCGTGTGTATTACTTGAAGAGTGTGAGTGATACAACGTTTTCTTTCTGTTTACATAGCACAGGGTCACGAGTACGAATATACACAGCTTCCAACACCTGCAATTGCTTGAAGAAACGTGCGCAACGAATAACACTAAACCAGGAATCGTCAAACACCTTACGACATTCTGGACTGGACACCAAATGCTTGTACACTGCAGACTTCCTCTTGTCAACATCAAACTCCTCCTCATCACTACTCTCATCCTCCACCTCCATTCCAATGCCGCCGTCCATCCCATCGCACTCGTATTCGTCGTCATCAGTCTCCATCTCCTCTCCTCTTCATCTCCTCTTCGTTGGATATTGCGAGTCGAGAATGGATAAAGTAAAGTGGCCTCAGCTGTACGTTCGATTTGTGGACGACTCATTTACCTATTTCGAATCAAGACGTGACAGTGAAGCCTTTCTAACTGAATTGAATGATGTCCATCCTGCGCTGCGCTTCACATGTGAACACGAAGAATCCAGAAAATTGTCGTTTTTGGATGTCTTAGTTGAAAGGACGTGTGATGGTGTTGTCACATCGGTTTATCGTAAGCCTACGTTTACAGGACAATATATAATGCATGACTCATATTGCTCGGCCCAGTACAAGATCAATTTAGTCCGGAACTTGGTGGATAGGGCAAGATACATTTGCTCTGACAGTAAATTACAACCTGAACTCGATTTCCTGCGCTCAGTTTTCCTGAAAAATGGATATCCATCATCACTCTTAGCAAAACTGCTCACGAGCAAAGAGCCGCGGAAGGAACACAAAATCGGGCCAACACCGTGTCGGGTGTTCTTATGCCTGCCTTGGAAAGGCTCTGAATCAACAAAAGTCAGTCGTGCAGTGAAATCGATCGTGCAAAAGACATACTATGCAGTGAATGTAGTTACTGTCTTTACAACGGTGCGTTCGTTCACAGTGTTGAAGGACGTCCTGCCAACCCACCATTTGGGCCATCTCATTTATCAATTTGAATGCCGACAATGTGGTAGTCGGTATGTTGGCAGGACGCTTCAACACTCGTCCGAACGCATCAAGCAGCACGTCCCATTATCATTGTTGTCCCAGGCTGCCAGGTTAAGCAGGCCGAAGCGTGGGAGACCACGAAAACATCCGCTGCCTATTTCTACACCTAGCACGGCTCACAATTCGGAAACAGAAACACCGACTACTTCCATTGAGAACGAGCAGACTAATCTGGTTCCCCCCTCGGAAACCGGACCACGGCAAGGGAGGCCGCCGGACGGTCGCTCCTCGACAAACAATGTTGCTACAACGGTAAGAGCGGAAGGGGAACAACTTGAAAACAGAGCAGAACCGAGGAGAAGCAAGAGACTAGCAGAGGCACGACTGAGACAAGTGGAGAACACAAGGCAAGGAGACGCAGGAGGAAGCACAGGCACGGCACAGAACGAATCAAGGAGAGGGAAGCGGTGTCGCGAGGAGATGGAGACTGATGACGACGAATACGAGTGCGATGGGATGGACGGCGGCATTGGAATGGAGGTGGAGGATGAGAGTAGTGATGAGCAGGAGTTTGATGTTGACAAGAGGAAGTCTGCAGTGTACAAGCATTTGGTGTCCAGTCCAGAATGTCGTAAGGTGTTTGACAATTCCTGGTTTAGTGTTATTTGTTGCGCACGTTTCTTCAAGCAATTACAGGTGTTGGAAGCTGTGTATATTCGTACTCGTGACCCTGTGCTATGTAAACAGAAAGAAAATGTATCACTCACACTCTTCAAGTAATACACACGCACCATTACATTCATTCACACAGTATCACATTCATCTGCCACTACCTTTCTCACATACACTATATTCACACATTGCAAAGGTGCAAACTTCGCTTTTTGTACCTGTTAGCTGCTGTATTTCTACCTGAAACCATATTAGCTACATGTATATAAGTGTGTGTTTTAGTTATTACATTTTTATGTGACGGCGTTCCACTGATGACAGTCACAAGAAAACGTTATGGAACTTGACTTTCTTCATTTTTGCTGTTGTTATGAGTGCACAATTTATCTTATTTATTGCCATATATATTTGAGGATTTCCCAAAGACGTAGTCTAAATTGAAGGGAGTTCCATTATAATGGGAGGCTGTAGGGCTGAGATAGCAGACAGTGGAGGGCTAATAATTCGTAATGAACAGCCTAGCAAGAGAAATACAATTATGCTGAATGTTCCAGAATGGTCCTTTAATCAATGATACCTTACTGCCCTGCAGGACACATTTGCCTGGGCCGACCGAGTAGGCGGAACCTTCAACCCATCGAAAACCGTTGTTATCTCATTCGCTGAGGAAGGAGCTGCAGAGACCATCCGCGGTATCCAGCCGTCAACCAGTCACCGTCACCTGGGAGTGTTGTTGAGTGAAACACTTAGCTTCCAGGAGCATATTGAACAGACAATAAGCAAGTTTAGACAGCGCTGCGTTCTTCTGTGCCATATGGCTGACCGTTTAACAGGAGACATCGTCAGGAAGCTGTACCTTACGTATGTCCGCCCCACAGCAGAATACGCCGCCCCAGTATGGGAGTCCTCCCTCTCTGCTGCACAGCGGCTCACCCTTGAACGGCTGCAAGCCAGAGTAGCTCGCACAGTCATGCGGCTTGAGAGATGCCCTTGCCCATCAGACGAGCCCAAGTCATCATTGTTTAAACAGCTGGGGTGGCCAAGTCTATCCTGGCGCAGGAAGATCGCCTGCCTTATGGAATTCTTCCATTTGGTCACCACCCAACCAGAACTTTTTGAAGCAGCGGGATACTGCCCCACGCGTAGTCGCCGCCGCCAACTCGCATTCACTCTGCCACGGGTTGGGAAACACGCTGGGAGGTCATTTCTCTTCCGCACCGCTACTGTCTGGAATGCCTTGCAGACCTGAGAGCCACAGCCTCGCAGTCCCTGTTTCACAGTCACATTTGCACGCACTTCTCTGACACCAAACACAATGCCACTCCGCACTGACATGCCTCTGTCCTCCTTCTTTGTGCGTTGCGCTTATTCTTATTAATTTTTGTGTTTCTGTTTCAGTACATTTCGTATTTCAAGGCATACCCCGAGGCAGTACAACCTACAGAACCTATTCAACCTGCATAACCAGTACAACCTGCATAACCAGTACAACCTGCATAACCAGTACAACCTGCATAACCAGTACAACCTGCATAACCAGTACAACCTGCATAACCAGTACAACCTGCATAACCAGTACAACCTGCATAACCAGTACAACCTGCATAACCAGTGCAACCTGCATAACCAGTACAACCTGCATAACCAGTACAACCTGCATAACCAGTACAACCTGCATAACCAGTACAACCTGCATAACCAGTACAACCTGCATATCCAGTACAACCTGCATAACCAGTACAACCTGCATAACCAGTACAACCTGCATAACCAGTACAACCTGCATAACCAGTACAACCTGCATAACCAGTACAACCTGCATAACCAGTACAACCTGCATAACCAGTACAACCTGCATAACCAGTACAACCTGCATAACCAGTACAACCTGCATAACCAGTACAACCTGCATAACCAGTACAACCTGCATAACCAGTACAACCTGCATAACCAGTACAACCTGCATAACCAGTACAACCTGCATAACCAGTACAACCTGCATAACCAGTACAACCTGCATAACCAGTACAACCTGCATAACCAGTACAACCTGCATAACCAGTACAACCTGCTTACAGTCCATTCAGAAAAAAGATGATATCCTAGCTTCTGGCCATAAACGGGTCAAAGTTTGAGTTTTCGTCACAATATTTTTGGCAATCCCGCATGGAATGCTTTTCCAATTGTGTTTTTGAAGTCTATTTCTCCAAAAAGCAAGCCATAACAAGAATAGGATTTTGGCCAGGTTTTGCCCCCAAAGCACTGGACTGGGTAAAAACCATGAAAATCCAGGCCGTTCACTCCACTTGCTTAATTAACAGTACATTTGTGGTTCGAACCCCAGTTGAGGTGCCTTTTTTGGACCCTTTTTCAAGTTTCGAATCGCGCGGCACTGCACAGTGTGCCACAAAATCGCCAAACACCGGGAGCTCTCCAGAGCCAGCGCTCATCTTTTTTCTGAATGGACTGTAATCTGTTTTTTCCACTACAACTTGCACAAGTAAGTTCTACACTACAACTTGCACAAGTAAGTTCTACACTACAACTTGCACAAGTAAGTTCAACACTACAACTTGCACAAGTAAGTTCTACACTACAACTTGCACAAGTAAGTTCTACACTACAACTTGCACAAGTAAGTTCTACACTACAACTTGCACAAGTAAGTTCTACACTGCAACTTGCACAAGTAAGTTCTACACTACAACTTGCACAAGTAAGTTCTACACTACAACTTGCACAAGTAAGTTCTACACTACATGCACACGTACTTAATCTGCCGACAGGTGTGTTTCATCCCTTCCGGACTTTTTCAGTATATCAAGGAGAAAATGAAGCCGGACCCGATAGCTCAGGCAGCTCAAACTGACAAGTCAGTGAGCTCTGTATAACGCAATTAGCAAAGGTACTACCCCACATGAAAGAACGCAACAACTGCAAGAGCAAGGACAAGTACATTTAACCACTTATGTCTTACATATTGCTGTATGCGTATGTCCCTAGTCTTCATACGTTCCTCCAGTGACATATCATCCAGTAGCCTGCAACAGTATGCAGTACAAACAGAAACTGATCATAGAGGGTCAGAACTGCAGCGTAAAACTTTCTCATGGTATGGCAAAACATGCCAAGTGAAGTAGTCAAAAACAACTTTCTATCGATATGAAATCCATGTCAAATCCATGTCAAATCCATGTCAAATCCATGTCAAGTGCATGTCAAATGCTTGTAAAATCCATGTCAAATGTTCAACGCAACACTTCCACTGCTGATCCGTGTGCAACGTCATTTCAATTGGCACGTGTTCACCCCCCCCCCCCCCCGACCGTCCGGGTTCGAATAACGAAAGTTCAGGGCTCACAGTAGGCATGCAGGATCGACAAAAGCGTCGTGCGAGGGCGGGTTTGGCGCACGTGAGTCGCGTGACCCCGGGAGAGTACCGATCGTGTACACCCCACGCATCCAAACAGAACAGAACAGAACAGACCAGAACAGAACAGAGAAAGAACCTGAGTTGTACTTGTAGCCTTTTGTAGTAGGTTTAGAGCCGATGTTTGGTAGGACCTGTCCTTTCCTCGCTTCTCTCCGCATGCAGTGTCAAACCATTCTCGGTTCCGTTCGTGTCGACCTTGTGTTTTTACGATCGTGCATTCTCCAGTGGAAATAGTTTGCTTTATTCCCGTAGCTATGCAGAAGACGTTACTTCAGTAACGTCTGGCGCTAGCCAGGGTCCACACAGCTTTAATTTGGTGTTTGTTTGTGTGTTTGTTTGTGTCACGCCTGGCGCTATCTGTATCTGACGGCAAAAAAGCATAGGATGTTATAAATTTTTCAATTCTCCTTTTGAGTAGACGGTGAACCTCTTTCAGTAGTCTAAGTATGGTGTTATGGCAAATCACTGCCGCTAGCCTTTGGGTGTCATTACGTTCATGGTAATTCCAATGCATGCCCGCATCAACGTGCCCTTCTTTGGTGTCAGTTATGCTGTGTGCACGCGTAGAGGTGATACATTTATTGTTCCTGTGTGGACCAGTCTAATCATAATTATTCCTGGCTGTTCTTTTGTGCTATTCATGCTATTCATGATGCATGTAGTAGTAGTAGTGCATCGTGTTGTGTTATGCATGTCTCATGTGCCGTTTCCCGCGCGCGCGTGAAACCGACTTCGCGGCTTGTAGTTTCTGTGCATAATTAGTTGAGTCGGCGTCTTGTTGTTTGGACTGGAGACTACACCGAGTTGTGTTCTTTTCGTTGTTTCAGTCAGTTACAGCTTGCAGTTATTCCTCTCGTGTAGTTCAGTTGCTTTACTAGTGTCTCATCCTGAAGTAAAGATTATTCGTTATTATCTCTGTGAGTCAGATCCCTCTTTCGTCTAATGGTAGCAGAGGATGGTTATCTTCACCTAGTCGGAAGTCCATCGGAGCGAGATGTCTGAACACAGCGACGATATCAGTCACGAGCGGAACAGGGTCACGGTAGGCGATGATGTTGGGCCTGGCCATGATGTTGAGCCTGGCGATTATGTTGAGCCTAGCGATTATGTTGAGCCTGGTAATACGGATGGCCAGGAAGAGCAAGTCAACGATGCTGTGACCTCGGCATCTGCAGACATGAGAGTGGCAAAAATTCAAATGAAACGGCGCTTGACGTCGCGGCGACGAGGCTTGATTTTGCAGATCCGTGACGAGAAGTTGAGTTTGGATGCCGTGAGAGACGAATTCGAGGCAGTGCAATGGTTCGCCAACGAGGTGAATCAGGTGTTGGAGTCACTGGTGACGTGTTTTCAAGCCGAGAAAAAAGGCAAAGCAGTCGACGCAGCAATAACGGAGCTGGAGGAAGTGGCAGAAGCAATGGCGCACCTGGAGCAGCAGGTGGAGATGTACGAGGAGCAACAACATATTCGTGCGCGTCATTCCGCAGGGTTCAGTCAGTACCACCCTGTTATGCCATCAAGCTTCAACGCTGCTCACGACCCATTAGGTGGGGTGTCAGGAACTGCTCAGTCTGCGAGTTCTGCACAGTCCGCTAGACCGTCTTCCGCGCCTGGTGGCGTCAGTGCGGACTTCACTCCTGTCACAAGCAACACGGACACATCTGCAGCAAGCAACATATTCAGCACCAACAGGCCTGTCAGTGCCAGTGTCTCAAGTAAAAGCGCAATCACCTCACTTTCTTCGTCTGTAGGTGCACCCACAAGCTCCAGCTCTACTCCACCAGTCAGTGTGAGTGCAGGGAGCAGTCACCACTCCAGTTCTAGTACCAGTAGTAGCCATAGCATCAGTTCCCGCACAAGTAGCAGTGCGCCAGCAGCAGCAGCAGCAGCAGGTCCCACAGTGCCACTGAGTCAGGCCAGCAACACCAGCGCACCTGTAGCTGTACAAGCAACCAATAGCAATGTACTGCCCAGGCAATCAGCCCCTGTTCACTCCAGCAGGGTACACACAGCAGTCATGAGTGGAAGTAGCCAGAGACCAGCCCATACATTACACCAGTCTGTGGCCGCCGTCCCATTTGTACCTAGAGCCAGTTTCAGGCCTACACAGAGTGTGGCACATGGCCATGGCGGCAGCTACAATGGTCTACCAGTACCAACTCCATCGAGACCATCTAGTTTTGCTGCACCACCAGCTGGAGCCGCAGACGTCTTCAGCAAAATGAGAAGCATTTCAATACCCGTGTTTGATGGTGATAAGCGTGCCTATGAGTTATGGAAGGCCACGTTCCTGGCGTGCGTGGACAGTGCGCCAATCAGCCCAACCCTGAAGCTGTTGCAGCTACGACAGTATGTAGCGGGAGAAGCGCTAAGATGCATCGAGCGGCTAGGGTACGCCCCGGACTCATACCACAAGGCAATGGAACGCCTGGAACGGAAATTCGGAGGTACGCGGCGCCAAGTGATGGTGTACTTAGATGAACTGGAACGGTTCAAGCCATTGCACGGAGATCGAGTCAACGCACAAGATCTGGAACAGTTCTCAGATTTGTTGGAAGTAGCCGTGACCAACTTGAAAGCAGCGGGTCGCCAATCGGAGCTAGAGGTGGGCACTCTGTACGCGCGAATCCAGCAGAAGCTGCCAGAAGACCTGCTGACAAGATACCATAGGTGGCTCTATGAGCATCAGCGCCCAGAAGGGGTGGAGGCGTTGCTCGAGTGGGTCAATCTCGAGGCCGACTTTCACATTACCGCCAATGAAGCCATCGCAGGCCTAGCACCTGGTCGCCATAGACATGGCCGAGAGCGCCCAGCAGCCCGAGGCCACTCATTCCATGCAGCAGAGTCACCCAATCCGACACCGGCAGCGTGTCCAGTATGCTCCCAGGACCATCAAGTGTGGACATGCAAAGAGTTCAAGGAAATGGATGTGGACAAGCGTTGGAAAGTGGCGAAAACACATCGGCTCTGCTATCGCTGTCTGGGCAAGGGCCACCGAGGTGCTAACTGCCAGCGGAAGAGAAAGTGTGGCGTAGACAAGTGCAGCGATACCCACAACTATCTGCTTCACAGGGCAGTAGCCATTGACACGTCTAAAGCCAGAAATGGCACGGAAAGGGGTCGTACCAGTGAGACAGCCAGAACCACAACCACTGCTAACATCGGAGCAGGCGCCAGACCGTTGTCACTGAGAACCTTGCCGGTCGTTTTACGAAACGGTGACCGCAACCTCAGGGTGAATGCGCTGTTGGATGATGGGAGCACCCAAAGTTATGTGAACACAGAGGTAGCGGACCAGCTCAACTTGCAGGGACCCATGAAACAGGTTTCGATCAGCACCCTCAACGGAGCGGTGGAGTCTTTCGAGTCAATGCCAGTGGATCTGCTGGTAGAGAGTGTAGATGGCAAGTACATCAGTCCGTTCTCAGCCATCACAACTAGTCACGTCACAGGCACACTGAAACCGTACGATTGGACCGTCGAGTCAAGTCAGTACCATCATCTGCTGGACATACCCTTCGAACAGCCAGCAACTCGCCAGATTGATATGCTGATTGGCCTGGATCATGCCGAGCTTCACTACTCTCTGGAGGAGGTGAGGGGTGATCAGGGAGAACCGGTGGCGAGGAGAACCGCGCTAGGTTGGACCTGTGTTGGACCTGTGAGTGGAAGCTCAGATCATCACCGCACTCACTTCAGCAGAGTCGATGACGGTAATCTGGAGATGCTGGTCCGGCGTATGTGGGAGGTGGAAGAGCCTCGCCGACAGAGCCCGCTTGCAGCAAATGACCGACAAACTCTTGCAGATGCAGAGGCAGCAACAAAGTACTGCAACGGCAGGTACACCGTCAAGCTGCCTTGGAAGAGAAGCCCGCCAGAGGAGAACGGTAGCTACGAGATGGCACTGAAGAGACTGCGCTCGACAGAGAAACGCCTCCACAAGGAACCAGAAGTAGCAAAGGAGTACTGCCGTGTACTGCAGCATCATGTGAACGCTGGATACGTGACTGCAGTAAAGCTCGAGTCAACAGGTGGTTGGTACCTCCCGCACTTTCCAGTCACCAGACCAGATGCAACAACAACTAAAGTGAGGGTGGTCTTTGACGCATCAGCCAAATGCAAAGGAGCAAGCCTGAACGACTACCTCCACCCAGGACCGAAGCTGCAGAGAGAGCTACCGCACATATTGCTGCGATTCAGGGCAAAGCCAGTTGCTATCGTGGCCGATGTAGCAGAGATGTACCTCCAGATCGAGCTGTCTGAAGATGATCAGAAATTTCATCGTTTTCTGTGGCGGGACTTGGATGCGTCAAAGGAGCCAGTCGCCTACCAGTACCAACGGGTGGTGTTTGGCGTGAATTCGTCCCCATTCCTAGCACAAATGGTGTCTCAGAAACATGCTGAGCAGCTAAAAGAAGAATTCCCACGTGCTGCAGAAGCGGTGTTGAAGTCGACTTATATGGACGACACTATGGATTCCACCGACGATGACAAGGATGCCATCAAACTGTACCAGGACCTGAGTGAGCTGTGGCACCGTGCCGGAATGCATCCTCGCAAGTGGATTTCGAACAGCACCGAGCTACTCCAACTGATCCCACCGGAAGA